GTAGTAGGTATATACTTGTACGTAACTGAGTAGTGAGTGTGATGTTAAACGCAGTGGCTGGATAAAGTTACCTATGCGATTGCTAGAATTGGGTCACTTATTATTTGACGACACGTTTGGCTCAGTTTGTAGTGTCCCTACTTTCTGTGCCAGCGGTCGCGGGTTCGAGTCTCGCTGGGGGCATTCATTTGTGTGATGAGCACAAATGTCAATTCATGGGTATTTATATTTATAATATGTATGTATTTAAAGTTATATATATGTAGTGTAACAACTATCTGCTATCCATAACATAAAACTCGTAGCTTACCATGGAACTAGATGGTGCTGTAATGTCCCAACATATTTATTTATTTATTATTATTATTTAACTATATTATACTTTATTTAATATTATAAATAAGCGAATATGTTTGTTGGCTTATCCGTCTTCAACGTACCTATGGTGGTAGTAGTAAAGAATTATTTTATGATATTATTTTGCAAATAGTTCTGGATGATTTAGTAAGTCTAAATCTCTTATCTATATTAAATTGATTTTATATTTATAATTTTATATTTAGAAGATTTTATATTTCTTTAGATAGATACCTTAATTTTTTAATACATGCAAAAAATCTTATATTATTGTATACACAAACTTCCTGTGATAATATAAAAGTCACCTAGATAAAAAGGTCTTATCAATAACTCAAAATAAAACATGAAATCCTGTAGACTAATCAACAGAAAGTTGTTTCCTCATTCTGAATTCTCCTACAAAATAAGTAGCGTAATAAATATTTCAGAAAGTTGCTTTAATTTCTTCTTTAAACAGCGCAGATTACCAGCGATCGGAAAAACTTACTTTTTTAATTTTCTTCAAAAACATTCATTTTGTTTTTTTATACATTTTATTTCAGTGAATAGTCTGATAGCTTTCTTAAGTTCAAAACGCTTATCTTTCTCCTAGAATATATAAAGTAAATCGTTAATACTATTTTGAACTTTAACACTTTGTCTCAAGCTCCATTTTTTATAATTACTTAGTTTATTGTTAACTTTTTAATTGCTTTGCAGGTAATTAACTTTACTTAGTGTTTAAACTGTATTTTTCCTTTGTTTCAGAAAACGATTTTCGCCTCTACTTTCACGCTCCTCGTTCATAATGATGTTTGTAAGTTATTACATAATTGTACGAGTACAAAGTCATACCTTACAACCAATTTATTGCTATATAGTAAATTAGAGAACTAGCGACTCACTCTCGCTGCGCTCGGGTTCGTCCCTACTTACTTTTTAACGTTTAGTATAGATTTCTCAGAGATGAGATATTTTCCCGCAGTAAAAAGTATACTATATGTTGACCCGGATAACTAGCTATCATAATACTAAATATCAAAATCCCTCCAGTGGTTTTTCCGTGATGCGGTAACAGACAGACAGACACAGACAGACAGACAAAAATTCTAAAAACTATAGATTCGGCGTCTGTATCGATAATAATGTTTATTTCAATAAGATTTTCCAAAAAATATTTAATGTACAGATTCGGCTTAGTTACAAATTTTATTATATGCATAGATTAATGTAGATTTATCAAAAAACCATTCTGTTTGTACGCAGCAAGTTTAATAACTAGCTTTCTTTATTTGGCTAAGGATCCTCAATTCATTTTTTCCAGTTTCATCGTGTGTCTTAACAATCAAATACAAGAAAATTATAGAGGCACACATAATACTTATATTTCATATATAAATAAATAATAAAAATACTCAAATAACATGTTTGTACAAAATGAAATCATGATGTCAGTTTGTCTTCTGTGATATAATGATATATTACGACATTAAATACTGCCATTTCTATGAAAATATTTATTACAAAACTGAGATAGCGTAATACGAGGTTCAACAAAGGATAAAATTGAACGATCGCTTCTCAAACCAGAGACAATACATGCATATCGAATGCATAGGCTTGCGATCATGGGAAAATTACTGATCCACCGACTATCAGGGATGCATTGAGCACGGCGGGTGCACCTTATCACCGCAGTCCGCCATTGTGTCGGACTGCCGACGACGCTAGTATACCTCACATTCGCAATATTCCATGCCGTTTGACAAATACTTTGTAGATTAAAACCGTGATTAGAATGTTACTGCCGTGCCGACCCCGAGTGTATTCGCATGCATCCCATACTTCTGTTGTAGCGTCGAGGCTGACACGCGATTTTTGGAAAAAATATTTTTAGAATATTGCTAAAGCACCGTTATTTATTAGGCGGCAACTCAAAAGAGATTTAAAGAAAAGATGACGACTGGTCAATTTATCATCGCGAGGAATTATGACATAAAAATAAAGTATGACTATAAATGATAGCTATTCAGATTCTTTGGAGAGCATTAACTGGATACACAATAAAAACTGATCCTGTTATAGTTTGCGAAACCAATTAAGTTATAAAACTTAGGGATCTCTGGTTTAATGAAATATTGTTCTATAATCATTATTTATGTTGGTATTATTTTATGATAACGATATAAAAAAGACTGCTTATAATCAATATGTAGAATTTTTAATATATATTTTATATAAATACATAGTTTTTTTTTCTTACTCAACAAAAAGTGCAGAGATAAATATTTCATCGTCAACTAATTATCAAATTAATTGAAAGTATCTTACTTAACTTATGGTGTGTTTTTCTTGCAAATATTTTTATAATGATATATTATTTATATATTAATGATAATATTAAAATATATAGAAAAATTATTTATATTTTGATATTTATAATCTTGCTTAATTGACATTGTAAAATAAAATCTTATATTGTACAATTAAATCATGGTTGTAAAGGTCTAAAACAACATTAATTTGCTTTTAATATAATGCTCAAATTATGGATTGTAAACTTATAAGCGGGATAATAATAAATGCCAGGGTATAGCAATCCAACTATAATTTGAATGTTATAAAATAATATCTTACGAATTAAAAAGCTTGGAGCGAAGCTTATAACAAACTCTAGGGTGGTCAATAAATAAGTAAAAAAATATGTTTGATATAATCTATATCTACATACTATAATAAAATTGTAAATAAGCCGAATCTGTACATGAAATATTCACATGAAATATTGACGCAGAGGCCGAATCTATAGTTTTTAGAATTTTTGTCTATCTGTCTGTCTGTCCGCTAGCGCATCACAGAAAAACCACTGGAGGAATTTTGATGAAATTTAGTATGGTGATAGCTGGTTATCCGGGTCAACATATAGGATACTTTTTACCGCGGAAAAATATCTTATTTCTGAGAAAAATACAAAAACTGCAATGTGAGAGTGTACTAATATGTAAAACCTAAGAATTTGGTTTTTGGTCATCTGAACGCGGGCGGAGCCGCGGGCAATTCTAGTTAAACATATTTTCATACTATCTCATAGGGATGTGTACAAAGGTATAAACTTACATTTGTGACTTTGAATATGATATTTAGTCATACATTTTGACTTTAAAAGTTAAGGTGAAACTAAAGTTCTTTATTTTTATTTATTTCTACCCAAGGAGTTAGTTATTCTTCTAACGAATTTTAAGTTTGAATATACTTTCTGTCATGTTATCGTAGAAGTACATAAATAAATCTTTATAAAAAAATAACTTGTCTTTTTTAATTAACCAATAATATTAAACGTTATAGGTATTATAAAAAGGAATTAAATTTTTGAAAAATTTTGTATAAAAATATCAACTTAAAGCATTTTAACGTTCAATCAATAATAACTCCTAAACAAAAAGCTAACCAACTACTGTAGGTCAATATGATTTAAATGATTCATATATTTTTTCTCGATCTCAGAAAACGTCAATTTTCATGTCGATCCTGTAAAGAAAATAACACGATATCTACTAATTAATATAAGCACTGAGGAGTTAATTAATTGTCGACTTACACGAGGGCACATGAAATATTTATAAAATTCATAACACAGCTAATTATGAAACGACGACGCGCTGCGGCCGCGCCACCCGCAGGCATTCGTCCGCTCGCAGATCTACACTGGAGAAAAACCTTATAATTCCCTGCCGGCTTCACTTACTCCCCTTTTTGTTTCATTCTCAGTATCCCGACAACGCACCGCAATCATAAGCAGTTTTTGTTGAAATGACCAAATGCGTCGAGAAGCATGTAGTCGGTAATTGTCGGGGCATGTAGAGCAGGCACAAGCTACTACTTATAGGAAATACTCCGAGGATATAAAAGTCATAAATCGTTAATCTCCGATCAAAGACTAGTACAGTCTATCGATCTTCATTCACAGAGAAAACTTACGAATGAAAAGAAAATAAGCACGCGTATAAACTACATTGGCCGGATTGCGGGAACCATAAAATTTTGTTATTGTAAAACAAGAAGTAGCGTGCCATCTGCAGCGGTGGAACTTATATGGCGGCCGCTAAATATTTATCAGTAAATTAGTATGCCTAAACTAACAAAATCAATTAACTTCGCTTTTTGCTGATAACTGGTTTCGTATGACGACATACCGGTATTTCACAACATGGATGATGTGGAACAATCCCACTGCCATGACATAGTAATGTTTTACGTACATAGCTGGTCAATGTTGAATGTTTTTTATCAAGCGTTGTAGTCCTCAGATTCTTAATTCTTAACAAGATGCGATAGCTGCCTCAGATAAGATTTGTGTAAATGATCGATAAAGATCCTACTATGTAACAATCACCATCATATAAGAAGTTGAATTATTTATTTATATATTTTTAGACTTATTGTATATATATATATATTGGAGACTATTATTTTATCTATGACACATCATATTTTTATTTATATCTTTTTACTTCTTTACTTATAAAATCATAAACATATTAGTACTATGCTAAATATTTGCAACACATCACATAAATCACATAAATGCTTTTAGCTTATTATAATATAAAATTATACTAAACTTGTTTATAACAGAACCGATTCAAAAACTAAAGTTGTCAAAGTTGTGACCCTACAAGAGGAATATCGAAGTAACAGCTCAAGTTTTGCATACTCGAGTGGCCGTACATCAAAACAAGTGGTGTCGTGGCGATGAGGCGAGGTGGTGGCGGCGCGGGGCGGGGGCGTGGGGCGGGCCGGGGGCGGGCGTGCAACCTGCACGCCTGCATCTCCCGGCTGACGGCCCACGGGCCACGGCTGCACTCACTACTACGTATCGAGCGGTGCAATGCTATGCATCTCTCGTCAATGTCATTGATATCGAACATCACAAAAGTATATCTTATAAAAATCTCTTATCGATTAGCTGTAAATAATGTGTTTTCTTAATAACTTAATCGATATTTTAGACTTATAATTCGACAAGATACACTTTGTTTTAATGTCATAAGATTATAACGATTTCCCGGACGACATTGAACTTTATCTCAATATTTATTTTATAGTGAGATATGTGACGCCATCTGTTGGCTGATAGCAGCACTAATGAAGCTTTAGTTCTTGCCCTTGAAAATAAACGTGGTATTAAGTATAACAACAGTATTAAGTAATAAGAATTTATTTATGCTATTTTAAAATAAAATGTATCAATTATGTTTTTAGTGTTTGTTAACTTACAAATTGTAATAAACATATTATAACAACAATAATACAATGTGTCTATAATAAAATTTTGTTAAAATAAGTGAATAAGTATAATGATATGGCCTTTATACATATAAAACATTTATAAAGAAATTTTATCGAATACTTGTACAATGTTATGAGATCATCAAACGTCCTGCATTTTATAACTGTGTCGTTGCACATTACAATTTGTAATGGTTACATCCGCGGATACCAACTTAATTTACATGCAAATACATCGACATTAATACTGAAATGAACATCCTGTCGCAATACGATCGATTTGCATATTTTTTAATAAAATATCAGGAAAAATAACAATAGCATACAATTTTTTAAATGACGGCAAACAATTGTTAGCGTTTCCGGTGAATTATTCAAAAATTTGAATCAAAGAATCATCATAATCTATGGTAGTTGATAATTACATGTTTATTATGAAGTAGTCAGTAGGAACGAATTTTAATCATCACATATGACAAACAACAGCGCGCATAAATTATGAATAAATTAACTTACGTGTTTGTTTTATACAATTTATAAGGTTTTAGGTCATATTATTTGTTATTTCTTAATATATTACTAATAGATATGTGTGTCTTTTCTTTTCTTATTAAATATTAAAATAATAAATTACAAAGATAAAAAACATATATTTGCATTATCCTACAAATGGAAATAATATTCACATCTAAATGTTCACACTTCGTTGGCTTATTTGGGGATTTATTGTAAAAAAATAGTTGAATAAACAAAAAATCCGGATATAACATTATTTTTTAATTAATTGTTACTAACTTAATTTTGTAGTTTATATCTTTAGTATTTACTTAGAATTTGTTTTATTAAAAATAACTGACAAGTTAAAAGCTCTTTATCATAAAATATTAGGTTTATTTCATTAATAAGTAAAAACAAATAATGTCAAAACAGCTGCAGGTTCATGTAGTTTATTTAAAAATTAAGGCTAGTGACAAATTATGTTGGAACTATTCAGATATTATCAAGTCGTCACCTGAACGGAAGCGAAACGATGTGAGGCGACATAAAAACTGCATTAGTTTGGTAAATTTAATTATATTCTAAACCCTACTTATCCATAACATTAGAATACAACACAAAACATATAGATAATGATCAAATTTATTAACTTTTACTTTTGTATATTTTTATAAATTCTTTTGTCTGAAGTCATAGATTTCTTTAAAACTTCCATAAATAATAATAATTACTTATCTGAGTAATATGTTATGAAATGAAAATAATAGATTTATACATTTATACGTTTCATATTAGTTGAGAATACTAATGAACAATCAGACTTCAGTCCAGATGTTTAGGAGGAAAACTATTTATTGAACAGTAAATTATTTGTAAATGAGTAACTGTAATATAAATATCTGCAAAAGCAAAATAGATTTTAGATTCAAACAATCTTTCAACCGCTTCCACAAAGCTTAGCATTTTAAAATTAATCGGGTGAAGATCGTAAAATATTCGATAAACAGGGCGGGTATGTTTGCTTTCGCCAAGTTTAACATTGCTATTAAACAGTCGTGAAATGAACAGAAATAATCGGGCCGATCCGTTATATCGCGTCATTCGTATTATGCTGGCGTCCGCATACATTGTGATCGTATGGACGGCCTATTGCCATGCTGGTCTGCTCTCCGCATTTTCCTACTTCACCATTCACTTCGTTAATTCATTAAGCATTACTTCATTACATTTGGCAAAATACACGGGTATTGTAAAGTAATTATCATATCGATGGGTTTTCGCTGAGGTTTCCGTTTAGCATGCAGGAGAGCGTACGACGATGCGTGGCGGCGAGGCGGCGTGACGGCATGAGCGGGCTCGAGGCCCGGCAGCGGGACGTGTGGCACACACGCGCACTCTGCGCCGGAGCACCAGACGACTCCGTTTTTGTGTGTCGCGTCGCGCGCCTCAGCCCTTTGCCGCCGGTTCCTTAAATTCACCGAGACGATACTCAGAACTAGAGCGTTTACTCCATTCGATCTCTCACACAGAATTTTATCTTAAAATATTTTCAAATTTTTTCGATCCTAATTTTTTATTTGGTATTAGAAAGCATTTAACGCTTCTTCTAAAAATGTAAATTTACAGTCATTACTAAAAACTTTATGAAATAAATAACATAAAATACGTAATGAAGTAAAGTAGGCAATTGAAGATATTGCTCAATGAGTGAATTAAGTAAGCTTATTCGTTGATCCGGTGGTGTAGGAGCATTCAAGGAGGTAAGAACGGGTCCAGCGGCCAGCGGGCGGCTCGGTCACAAGTGGCAGTGCGCAGCCTCCCGCGGCGCAGCGCTGGCTGCGCTACTTTTTACCCGCGCATGCTTGGCTCGTGTCTTTTTCGCTCTTTCTGATTGGAATTCGTTGAGAGATCGCCACTGCCGGTGGCAGAGCACTTGTGATAAGTCGGCGACAGTACGAGAATTGCGTACGCGCTAATTAAATATATCGCACTTTAATAAATCACAAAACACTTATATTAAAAATATAATTATAAATTCACTGTAAGTTTTCTCTTAAATGTAAACTGTAGTTTATGTAACTCGGAACCTTTTAATTGTTAAATATTACCATGTTATAAGTATATTTATATATTATTGGTAATAATGTAAACAATGCCGTCTCTTACTGTTCTATGTGGCATGACAACATGCACTCATGCGGGAATCGAACATAAAGCTTTTAGCAACAAATGCAGGTTACACTTACACAGCCATTATTTACTATTTTTCATACAATTTAAAATCTTAAAATATATGATCCTATTATAAACATACTTAGTAACGTATGTAGTATAGTAATTTATTTAAAGTGATTTATATTCGTTTCGGCTAAATCATTCTTATAAGTAGTAAATTAAAATTGTTATTAATGAATATTCATAGCTTGTAGCCAATTATTATTAATCAATTTTATATATATTTTAATGAAAATTTACCTTACCTTATATTATTATTATATCTAAATATTTCCTATTAGCGACTCACCCTCGCTTCGCTCGGGTTCATTCCTAGCTTGGTTCCCTATATAAACTTTCATCCTCATTTTCGCCCCTGTAAGGAATGATTTCCGGAATAAAAAGTATCCTATGTTCTTCTCAGGGTCTCAAACTATCTCTTTACCAAATTTCATCTAAATCGGTTCATCTGGATCGTAGATCCAGAGATTACCCCCTAAAATCTCTCAAACTCACAAACTTTATCTCTTTATAATAGTAGTATAGATAATACCCGGCCCGGTATAAATTTAATAAGAAATCACCCAATTATTATAATATTGACTGATAAATTCCAATTAGAAAAAAATATATTTACCATTTTGTGTATTCATAAATATCTATACTAATATTATAAATGTGAAAGTTGGTAAAGATGGATGGATGGATGGATCTTTGTTACTCTTTCAAGTCAGACCGGCTGAACGGATCTGGATGAAATTTGACACAGAGATAAATTATAGTCTGGAATAGCACTTTATATCCCGCAAAAATGTACGGTTCCCGTAAAATAAATTTGTTTTGTCTAGGAAAGAACCCGAATCGAAGCGAGGGTGAGTCGCTAGTTGTAAATAATAATATTAAATTTATTTTTTACGTATTTATTTAGTGTAGGTACTACGTTTAATTTTTCTAATTATATAACAAGAAAAGATAAACGTTTATACTAGTAATATTTATTATAAACGTTTATATAGTATAAACGTTTATTTTGTCTAATTAACATAAAAGAAAAAAAAAGTTGCTTTTCCTCAATGTAAGATATTTTTTTTTACATTGAGCATGAATATTGAAATCTTAAACTACAGAAAATTGGAAAAATGTTGTATAAAATTTCGAGTCTGAAATTATATAATGCAATGTTATTTTAATATAGCTACACTTTAAGTAGCACACGTAAATATGCGCTCACCTATTGATTCAAATCTTCTTATATTTAAACGTACTTGTTAGTATATAACACAAGAATAATATTAAACGTTAAACGTCCACATAAACAGTGAGTTCTAAATAAAATATCGTCGAAATGTCAAGATGGATTTAATACAGTGTACCCAAATTTTCTCACGTAGGATACTAAAATAAGTATGGAAATGGAGTGCGCTGGTGCAATCGAGTATAACATTGGGGCAATTATGGAGAAGGCGAAGGTGTCGTGAGTAGCGCGGGAGCCGACTACACGTGTTAGCGACCGCTTGCATAATGCCTCAGGGCTGTCTTTGAGATACGTTATAGCCTATTTAGATTACTAGGCAATTATAGAAAATATAATTCGCGAATCTGAGATAGTATCTATTCGTATTTTCTTCTTATTAGTATGATGCGCGTTTTAACAAAATTTAAGATTTCATTCAATCTTGCATAAAGCCCAAAGCATTATGCTATTGAGAGTTCGTTTTTTTACCTTTTGACGTACGAAACCCTAAAAAGAATGTCATGCGTAAAAAACTCGTTTTTTTATATATTCGGTTTGTATTATACTTTATTTAACAGGCAATAGTAGCCCAGTGTTAACGCGCTTGCTTGGAAAACTAAGTGAAGCGGGTTCAAATCCCGGGTTTCACACCTGTGAATTCCACAAATCCAGTTAAAAAGGGCTGAATACAATACTTTATTTTAATTACTAAGCTAGATTCTTAGGTTTTACATATTAATATACTCTTATATTGCAATTTATGTATTTTTTCTCAGAAATGAGATATTTTCCCGCGGTAAAAAGTATCCTATATATTGACTCGGATAACCAGCTATCACCATATCAAATTTCATCAAAATACTTCCTGTGGTTTTTCTGTGATGCGGTAACAGGCAGATAAACAGACAGACGAAAATTCTAAAAACTATAGATTCGGCCTCTGTATAGACAATAATGTTTATGTCAATAAGATTTTCCAAAAAATATTTAATGTGCAGATTCGGGTTATGTAGTTACAATTTTATTATATGTATAGATTCATTTACTTAGGCACATTACATCGAGAGTAATGATTGACCTTTTGCTCAATATAATGAATAAACTTATTTCTTATAACAACAACAACAAATAAATAAATATGTTGGGACATGAACACACAGCACCATCTAGTTCCATGGTAAGCTACGAGTTTTGTGTTATGGATACCAGATAGTTGATACACTACACATATTTAATTTTAAATACATACATATTATAAACATACGAGTAAATACCCATGACTGGAGTACAAACATTCGTGCTCATCACACAAATGAATGCCCACAGCGGGATTCGAACCCGCGACAGCAAGTACTCATTACGGTCACTACAAATTGAGCCAAGCGTGTCGTCAATTTATTTATTTATTTAATTTCTATATCGTATGCAGCGTAACCTGGTTACTTTCGGCCACTTCTCTAATCGCCTGCGTAAGCTCCATTACACAGTGTTGAGGCGTTCTGCAGTAGGTATAGCGGGAGCAAACATAAAGACAAACAAATTTTTTATGATTTTGGCGATTTTAATAGTTTTTTTCACTTAATATTGACCTGTAATGTAAAATGAAAAAATGGTTCTTAAATAAGCAACTAATAAGAGATTTCAATTTTTCATTTAGTATTAAATTATAAAATCATACTAATTTATAAGTAATCAAATAGTCTCTACGTAGTATAAATTCAACGTAATTCTTGTTTTTTTTTTTCAAAAAAATCTGTAAAAATATCTGGATGTAAAAGTGTTGCAGGTATGCAGGTACACTTAGATATGTATCTAGAGATTTACAAAGTATTTAATATAAAATATATATATTATTGTGTTTGTACCTCAACATTGGGAAATTCAATAACCCATCGTAATATTATGCTATCATCAATATTCATCTATTCATGAGTTTCAAAAGAAAAATATGATGGAATATTTTGGCAACCCACACATAATAAGCCCATATATAATATTAAAAACAAAGAAATGTGGCGAACGAATGCCCCGGTGGCAGCCCTTTGCAATCACTGAAAGAGAAGCCGCTTGCCCTTCCATTGAATCAAATTCATATATTTTGAGATTCAGTCGCCAATTTTACCTGTACAGTCAGCATAAGATAATTGCATCTATTATTTTATATTAGATGAGATACGATTTATTAAAGTTCTCCAATAACCTTGTATACTTAAGAACTACTACAATATTTTATTATTTTTGAAATTTTATTATTTTTATTATTTTCATGTTTTATTATTTTATCAAAAATACTTAGAGCACGAATTTCTAATTGGAAATAAAGCAAGAGCTATTGATATATCCCAATTTTAGATTTGTGGAAATAAACTTTCTTTGTATAAAAATAGTTTATATAAGTCCAGGTAGCACTTAGGCTACATTAAAAGTCTGAGAGAAGCAAGGAAAACCACTAGTACCTGTATTATATTTACAAATATATAAGAAGTGACTCTATTATCATAAAACAGGCAAAAAACTATGTAATTAATGTTTTTGTGCTATATTTGATTTATAAAGAATATGTATCATAAGATTTTATTTGTTTGTAAAAGGAAGATGTTGCTATATTTGAGATATATTTAATCTGTGCTCGGTGGCGCCAAGACATTTGTCATGCGATGGTGAAAACCTATCAGAATTTAGAAGATGGTAGGCTAGGCATACCACATATAAATAATATATATTATGTAAGAGTTACAAAAAGAATTAAAGCCTTAAACTATTATTAATGGTGTTTTCATAAATCACACAGTTTTACATAGAAGTAACCATAATTAAACTCTTATTTAAAATCAGCATATAAGAATAGAACTAATAGATAAACATTGTTATACTGACCGTACAGGCATTCCGAGAATTGTTTTATTGGATTATGCGGCGAGGACGCGAAGCAGCTATAACTATTCAGTGTCGTCTTTTGTGTTATGGAAAAACTTGTTCTTGAACCCATGTAGTGTGAAAGTGTTCTTTATTTTTGCAGTTTAATGTTACATATGTACACATATTATCATCGCCTGCGCAGCGCGACTGTCATCTCATCGGATCGCGCATGCGCCGCACTCTTGTTAGTGGACAATGCAACACTGGCTTACTCCAATAATACTGATTTTTGAGATTTTAAATTGACGAAATTTGTGATATTCGTATAACTTTATCGGTTACTGTTTTTAGCTTTATTTTTGCTTCAATGTAATTAAAGTCTGGTTTTTAATTCCACGGAAATATGACAGCTGTCATTCTTTGACAATTCAGATATCATAACCCTTTTCTGCTTTGTATTTTTTTAATATAAAATAACAAAAAAAAAATGAAACAGAATAAGATAAAGTAAACTATATGTATGACTTTGTAAATAGTCTTTGTTTTGTGCAATCAATGCACACTAACTATAATGTAAATGTTTAATGGTTAAATGAAAAAAACAGAGTATCATGTAATTATTATTACTTATATCATCACTGTCGTCATCATCATCCACTCGGATTATAAAAGAATCACACACACTATCTCAGATCAGTCTGATCACTATATCAGATCATTAAGAGGGCACATTTTATCCTCTTCTTTAATAATATGGTTTATGCATTCTTGCCTAAAATAATAATAAAAATCCTGAACGATCGTTGTGGACCTGTCTTTTTGGGACTTTCCAATTCTTTTTCCAATTGCAAAGATTTTACAAACAAAGGGTTTTCCCAAAAAAGGCTTGCAACCTATGTATTATTGGAGAGGGATTCCTGTAATAAAATAATTTCCTTAATAATTAT